GTTCTGAGGATCTTTTAAAGTCAAAATTTTCATTCTTATAATATTTTAGAATTTTAGCTTGCATTTTGTGTTTTAAATAATACTCTCTTTTTGGTAATTCTCCAAATAAAGTTATTTGGTAATTATGAAAAATTTGAAATCTTCTTTTTTTATATAAAGTTGTCAGAGCCAATTCGTCGCCCCTTTTCCTTTTTTTAATATTTTCCTTTTCTTTGCCCTTTAATAAAAAAAAGATTCAAATTCGAGACATCCCCATAAAGAGATCTAACGGACAGAAAGTCCGGGTTTTGTTTCTGGTCGAAAAAGGTATGTGGTTCAGGTAATTAGTGGCATCCCTTACGCCTAATTGAGTCGATGTATAAATGATAGGGAAGTGTGTTTGGGACAACATATTAGTGGGATTAAACGGTATTAGTAATTTTACACTCAAGGAAGTCGAAGAGTCTTCATTTTTCATCCATTCTTCACTTGTTGGAGTTAAATTCAAGTTAGAATTTTCATAATAATATTCTTCAGAAGGCGAATCTTAAATTATTGAAATTTATTTTTTTTTCCAAAATATTATTTAAAAATTACAATTACTAGAATCCTCGCTATAATCGTTTGTAGCATTTAAACAAAATAAAAGAGTAAAGTCAATAAATAATGCTAATTTATTTATCAGCATCTAAAAGTAAACAATTAGCGGGAGATAATTTACAAAAGGATAGCTATTGAAAGTTTAAGAAAGAGTTTGCAAAAGTTTAGCCACCGGTCAGGATTCGACCTGCGACCACCTGCTAGTTGTTGCTAGGCGCTTTCGCTCACCATATGCAGGAGCTCTAACTCTGAGCTACCGGGGCATCGACTAATGCTTTCTCTTTTTCCTTTTTAGATCGTTTAACCCCCGCCTAAGCGTTTTAAATGCTGCTGGGTGAATCATCCTTACAATTATTAATTCTGCTCGGTTTTTAGTTGGCTCTTCCCGTGCTTGTATAAACAATTAAACAAACAATTTTAGTCAAAAAGAGAATTTTAAAAAATTAAATCTAATTTAAAATCTAATTTAAAATATAAAATTTTATATAATGCCTCTCACTGCTTTAATCAATTACAAAATAAAAATTTGTCTTGTGATGATTATACGTTGTTAATTAATATACTATAGCTGCCCTCCTCTCTCTTTTTAAATTAAAAAATCTTTTACGAGCGCTATTCCTTTAAATGTCTTTAAATTTTATTGCACTTAAGGACATTAATTGATTAATGATAGGGCGGTATTATACAAACATGTTAACAGATTAACCAAAACTTTGGTTTCAAAACCAAAATTGGCGACTAAAGAATATATTACCTGATTTTTATAATACCACCCGATATACCGTATATCCTGTAATAACTACCCTGGGTAGTTATTGTTTCGACCTTCCGCTGGAGGGAGTAATTAATCAAGGGAGGGTAATTATACGAGGTTTGGAATTTGAACGTGTTTTAGGGCATTTGTTCGGGGTAATTATTGTTTCAATTTATCGCTGGATGGGGCAATTAATAGAAGCGGGGTAATTATTTGAGGGAGGGCAATTAATACAGGTTATACGGTAGTCTGAACTTTAGTTAAAACTTTTAGGTGAATACAAAAGAAATCTTTTAATATTACAAGCTTTAATTTTCTCTTTAAAAATATTTTTAATTTAAGGGCCTATATCAATTGTCCGCAGCAGGGGCGGGCGCAAGAGACAATTTCCAAAAACGCAACGCAAGGCCAAAAATCAACGCAAAACGCAAAAAAACGCAATGCGCCCGCCCCTGGTCCGCTGATTCTGCATTCTGTTCACAACCCGCGGAATTATATTTCAATTAAATTCTGTATATCAGATTCTGTGGAAACAACCAAAAAACAGAATCTGCGGACATAAATTTCTGTGGATCTGCGGATTATTTTACACTGAGCCTGGAAATGTTTATGAATGAATTTAGGGAAATTATTAATAGATTTTGGTTGGAATTAATTTAGAGTTTTAAAGTAAAATTCTAGACCTACCTATACCTGCCTATAATTTTTAAATAAAAATTTAGTTAAAAAAGTTATTTATGTGGAAAATCCTGGCAATTCTACAGAAAAAATATGTAATCTTTTTTTCATACAACCCTAAAATTTATAAAATTAATTATCTCGAATAAAGAAAAATTAAAAAATAAATTTTTTGTAAAAGAAGGAGATGAAATAATTGTAAATTATTTAATTGAAGAATTTGGAAAAAATTATAAAGAAAATCCAATTGAATTTTTTAAATTAGAAGTGGAAGGAAATGTTGAGGGAAAAATACAAAATATTTTGGTAGAAAAAATTTTAAATTTTGAGGAAAATATTGAAGAAAAGAGTGAAGCTTTTGTTTATCAATTAATCACTAAAAAGCGAAAATTGGAATGAATGTAAAAAAGAAAGTGAAGAATTTTTAAAAGGAATTTTATTTTGGTTAACTAAAATTATTTTAAAATTAAATTTTAACTAAATTTTTTAATTTTTTTGACATAAACAATTTGTGATTAAAGACGGGACTATGAGGATCTTGTGAATGTCTTCTCGCAAAATCTTTAGCTTGATAACTGAGATTTGTTCGATATCTCGTCTTGGTCTTGTCTCTATTAACTTCATATTTTATTATCATTAGGGATGTGATTTTTAGCAAAGTGTGATTCCTATTCTGTGATTCTCAAAATATCACATAATAGGTTAGAAAATAGAAAAAAACCCACCAAAATAGGCTAGAAAAACATCTTTTTCTGTGATCCTAGAACTATTTCTGGATAAATATGTAGATTTGTTTGAAAATGGAGGCATTGGCGATTCTGGGAAGCATCTTATAGATGGCCATGGTCCAATATCTGAAACGTAAAAATATGTATCTGCCAAGTCTCTTTCTGTCTTACAAGATTACATAGTACAGTTTCTGCTCAAAGTAAATAGATATTAAGTCCAAGAACAAAAATAGTCAAAACTCTAAAAATCATCACATCCCTAATTATCACATTAAAAACATTTTCTAAAATATTTTCATTATTTATAAAATTTTATTTATTTATTTACAAGTTATACATATTTTAATTTTGTCGGCATTATGTAACCCAAAAATTTTCGATAAATACTTTTTGAGTTTTTATTAAATTTCGAGTCTATATATTTTAAAAGTTAAATTTTGAGCTGAATTAAAGTAAATGCTCTAATAGGACCACACTCTCTAATAGACCACACTATCTAAAGCATACCTACTAGAGGATCGAAAAATAGAAACACATGTGGGTCTATTAAAGAATTTACTAAATTAAATGAAAATTTTCCAATAAAGGTTTATGAGTACCAGAGGTAGGTCGGAACAGTCAGAGGTGTTGGAAATCGCAACTGTCGGAAATCGGAAATGGCTCAAAAGTCGGAACTCGAAAATCGGAAATCAAAATTTTTTCGGAAATCGGAAGGAAAAAAACGTCGGAAATCGGAATTACAACCCACCTCTGATAAGTACAAGAGGCTAATGCACAACCTACGAGCAGTGATGGGAAAGTTCCGAAATTTCTCTGGAACTAGTTCCAGTTCCAGAACTAGGTTTTTAATTTTAGTAGTTCCAGTTCCAGTTTCCAAACTAAAATTTGGCGCGATCCCGCGGGATTTCGTGATTTTCATTTAAAAAATTTTTACGTAATAGATATCGGGGAGATCAGAGGATTTGAAGGGATTAATGGATTTAAAAGGATATCTGGGGGGATTTTTGGTGATATCTGAGTTATAAGAGGAGGATTAAAGAAGATTGGAGGATAAACTTGAGGATTGAGAGGCAAAGGATTCACTTTTTCAGCGCTTCAGGCGAAAATTTTGATAATTTTGAAAGACCAATTCACCAGATTTCATCCTTTTTTAGCGCCGCAGGCGAAAATTTTTAGAATTTTGGAGTTCAAGCAGCCAGATTTCTTCAATACTCAGCGCGCTGAAGGCAATTTTCGAGGAAATTTTGTCAAAAATATACCCCCAGGAACTAGTTCCAGAACTAGTTCCAAAGCTAGTTCCAGACATTTACTAGTTCCGTAGTTCCAGTTCCAAGCTAGTTCCAGCATTTACTAGTTCCGTAGTTCTAGTTCCAAACTAGTTCCAGATAATCGTTAGTTCCGTAGTTCTAGTTCCGGAACTGGAACTGGAACTAATTAGTTCCGGAACTGGAACTGGAACTTTGCCCATCACTGCCTACGAGGGGATCAGAGATTAGTACCTTTCCATTTAGCATTTACAGTAATTATACTAGATTTATTAAAAGTGTCTAAATATTATTAAATTATAATCTGTTTTTTTTAAACTAAAAATCTACTCCATATAAAAAAATTATTTTAAATAAAAATTTCGAAAATAATTATTTTAAATTAAATTTCCATAAAAACTTCTAAATTTCTTAAATTTTCTTTGGCTCCAAAAATTCTTTCCAAAAATCGTTTATTTCTTCAGAAGATAAATTTCTTGCTTCTCTAACTTCTTTTAAACCTGCCAAATAAATTTAATAAATTAATTTTTAAATAATTTTTAAAAACCCTCAAGCATTGCTTTTTCAATTATTTTTGTTGTAAATTTATTTATTTGTTTTGTTAAATTTTGTTCTGGATTGGTTGGGGAAAGGACAATAATTGAGGAACCTTCATTCTCGATTATTTTGTATTTTTTATCATCTTTTATCCGAACAGGTATTGAATTATTCCTTAAAATTAATTATTTTTATATTTTTTAAACCAAAAACTATCCATTATCGATACAAACTTTTTCGCATTTAGCCCAGCTTACAAACAAATTAATAACTCGATTAGGGATTTCCACAAGTGAAAAAAATTTCCCAGCCGCAACTTGCAATTGTGGACAGCTCTGAACCCGATACACAGACATGCCCCACGAACTTTTATGGAACATCCTTAAAATTCATTGTAACTCCTCCCATCCTTTGAATAATTTCAGATTTTTGGGTCACCATTTTTAGGGTTTAGCATCATCAACTATTAAGAGTTATTTTAAGGAAATTTTTTTTTGATAAATGATAACTCTTTTTAGTTTTTACATTTTTGAAGTATAAAATATTTTTTAAAATATTGCGGAGTTTTCGGTTTAAAAAATTAATTTCTAACCATGTCAAATATGTCAAAAAGAAACGTTCAATTAATTCAATTAAGGACACATTTGGATATAAAATATTTATTTTTGTTAGCATTATAGAAATTGAATATTCGTCTAAAAATCCAAAACGTTCTTGATTTACAAAATTATCTGAAAGAAAAATTTTTCTTGAATTTTTTTAAAAATTTTCACATACTTTTAGCCCAACGATTTAAAATAATTAAAGCATTGTTAAATTTAATATTATTTTTAATGCCCGGCAATTCTTTTATAAAATTATTTGTTTCGTGTTTGTATAAAGCTTCTTTTGTTTCTATTGTGAATTTAATTCCTTCAATATTTAATTCAATCATTTTTTGTGTGTTATTTGTGTGTTTTTGTAGGTGATTAAAAGTGACCTTAAACTTATTTGTAAATTTAATTGAAATTCCCTAATTTAATGACAGCTCAGAAACTACTCTCATTTAGAGTGCCAGACATCTACCCTCGTAAAATAAGAGTTGTGGATTCATCGAGATAAATGCACATTACAATTTACACTTTTTTTTATCTTATTTATTAAGAATACTTGGCAAGAGTCTAGATTGTCTTCTTTTTAAAATTTTCGGTTGTGAATTTATCCAAAGATTGTGAAATACCAGATGCTGAAAAACGGAATGCCAGACCAGAGTGCCAGATCTAGAGTGACTTCCAGAACTAAGAGGATCAATTTGCCCAATGCTTTTACTAAACAAACTTAGAATGACATACTGACCCCTTTCCCGAAATAAATTAAAAACCCTAATACCCCTACATTCCCGCCTCTAAACGTTCAGAGGCAGGATGAAGCCTAAAATAAACATTAAAAACATTTCAAACCTCAAACTCCTCAAATTCTTCTTTACATAAAAAACAATAGAGGGAATTGTCTTTACAATTTCGCGAAATTAAAGGTTCACAAATAGACTTTTGAGAACCAAAATATTTTTCAACTAAATGGTCATCAAATACAATATTAATTTCAACATCTTCAATTAACCAAATACCAAACTCGTAATTGCCCGTAATTTTAAATTTGTCTTTAAATCCATTTTTAGACTTCCATTTATTTATAATTTTAATTAATATTTCCATTCCTTTTTTAATTATTTCCTCGTCTTTTCCCAAAGATTTTATAAAATTATTGTCGTCGAGTTTTCTTTCAAATATTTCAATTGGTTGGAACCCTTCTGGATTCAAATAAAAAATTTCTTTTAGTTCCGGGTTGTCTATATTCAATTGCTCTTTTATTCTCTTCATTTCCCCTGCACGTTTTGATATTTTATTTACCCAATTAATTATATTTTCATTATTTAATTCAAAAATTATTCGAACTATTTCAAATTGGTTTACTTCATAATTCTCATTTCCCTCCAAAAGTGCACTAGAAAACGCTTCAAGATGAAGTTGGCGTCTCATCTGTGAATAACAATAAATCATCTATTGTTAGGATAAAGTCAGAATTCAATTTAAGTCCTAGAATAGACAACTCATTTTAAGCTTTAGACCCAGATATTGGTAGCCACTGGGTCGGAGGGGGGAATATCTACTGATTTTTCGAATTAATTTTTCTTGGAGTTAGCTATCGGGCAGGAATCGACCTACAACCTTACGGACTTGAATTGGAGCTTTTTAGGCTCCTCTGAGCCTTCTAACTTAATGGGATAATCGTCCAGCCCAAATTTCAACTTCGCCTACATTGTTACCTTCTACTTTGAATAAACTGGTAGTCTCGTACTCGGCGACCTTGTAACAATCCCATACGTACCAGGGATGGACCGGGTTGAGAAAAAATTCGGGTCGGGTTTCGGGTAACCCGGCCCATCCCATACGTACCCCTCACATAAAACCAACCTTTAATAGCTCTTCCTTCTTAACATTCTTAACTTTACATTTTAATTCGAATATTCCATTCATTCTTTTAATTAAATCAACCAAAATACAATACAAATCCCTTTCAATTTTCTCAATTTCTTTTATTCCTCCAACTTTTTTCTTAAAATCTTTATTTAATTTATATTCCCAAGTTCTTTCCAATTTTGTTATCAATTTATTTTTATTTTCCCCATTTTCCCCCTCTTCCTTTGGAAATAAAATTTCAAAAACTTGGGGGAATTTTCTCAAATATTTTAAAAAATCAAAACGTTTCGCCAACAAATTTAAATAAACAATTACATCCAAAAGCTTTTTTTCCTTCAAATTTTGAGGGTTTTCTATGGCTGTTTTGTATAAATTTTTTAGTTTATCTTCCCCTTCTGTTCCGAGGAATTCTTTCAAAATCCATGTCTTTTGACTCTCATTTGTTTGAAATTTTTTAGAATTTTTTCCTTTCCCGATTTTTAATTTGCCTGGGAAATTCTCTTTGGCTTTAAAATTTTCTGGTGAAATTTCTTCTTCCTTCACCTTCCTTATTTCTTCCTTATCCTCAATTATTTTCAGATCGCTTGCTTTATCCTTTTCTTCGGCTTTTTCTTCCTCCTCATCCTTTTTTTCTTTCACCTCTTCCTTCTCTTTTTCCCTTTCTTTCTTCTCTTTTTCTACTTCCTCTTCTTTCTCGTCTTCCCTCTCTTCCTCTTCCGTTACCTTCAGCTCCTCTTCCCTCTTTTCTTCTTCATTCTTTACCCTCACCTCCTCCTCTTCATTCTTTTTTTCCTTCTCTTCTTCTTTAATGATCTTCTCTAAATCTCTCTTTTCTTCCTCATCTTCTTCACAACAAAATTCTTCAGCTCGATTTGATTTATCTTCAATTTCCTTCTTCAAACTCAATTTATTTTCCCCATTTTTACTTGCTTTATTTTTTCTCTTCTTCTTTTTTGATTTATTCTTTTTTGATTTTCCTTTATTATTCAATCCTTTTTTATTCAATTCTCCATCATTATTTTTAATAACTTCATTTTTACCATTTAAATCATCTTCCTCATCCTCATCAGAAAATGTTAAAATAAATTCTTCCTTTTCTTTCCCTTTATCATTTAAATTTAACTTGTGTAAAATTGTATCTACTACATCTTCTGGTATTATTCTTACAAGACTTTCTCTTGCCGAATTGTTTACTTGAAATGCTGAAAAATGAAAGTATATTTTAAATTGAGGATTTAATGAATCACTCGAGAATTGATTAAAAAACGTATAAGTCCAGCTCTGGGGTATCGGATTTGTGGCTTCGAGGGTTTTCAACTCTTGGACACGTCTTCGGCAATTTCAAAATATCTGCCCGGCTACGGCCGGGAATGGCTAGATTCCGGAGCCATGCCTGGTATTCGATTCAGCTCGTCGAGATGCATCGAACCATACCGAGGCGTTCCGGATTCGACTATTTTGAACGAAGTTATAGCTTTGCGGTACGTTGGCCTGCTCACATCCAAATGTACTGAAACATGTTCATTCTTGCATGCCATTTTCGCATTTTCTGCGTTTTTAAACTCTTTTTTCCATCTTATTTATAAAATACACTAGTACCAAGAATTATGTTTCCATCTTTAATCCTTCGCCAAATTTCAACTTTTTTTTACTCTGCCACGCCTGCCTTTTTAATTATTTTTTTGCTTTTTAAAAATCAGGGTGCAACAAGTTATTATACTTACAATAATTAAGAGAATGCCAAAACTCTCCATCATTTTCCAGTAATTTAATTATATTATTTAAATGTTCCTTTTTAAGCCAGAGTGTAAAATATTGTGGTGTTTCTCCTAAATTATTGTCTCTTTGATGCCGTAGATGATTCCATTTTTTATCTAAATCATCCAATATTTTATCTTCATAGGTTGAATAAAATTTTTCTGACGAAGATTGAGCGTTTTCATGCCTTTTACTTTTAATTTTCGCTTTTAAGTAGTTTTTCTTCTATAATTTTAAATTTATTTTTTTTATCTTTTGGTGTATAATTAAACCATGGAGACCGAGAGGGGCATTATTAGAGGTAGATACTTAAGTGTGTGATTGTTAAGGATTTATCGTTTATAATAACTTATGTCATAGAGCCCTAGCTTGCTATAAGCTATAGGTTCCAGTTCAGGAATTGGAACCGCATCGGTTCCGAAACTGAAACCGGAACCCCACATTAATGATCGCCATGCACTAGTATTTTATGAATATGGAGAGAGTAAATGACTTCCCTCTTACGACTTCCCTTAGAACAACTTCATATGTTGTGTGACCTAATAGAGTGATAGTTGAATTTTTAGAATTTTGGAAGGGCAAGAGGCCAGATTTCTTCTATTTCTTAGAAATAAAGTAATTCTTAGGGTGTATATTTAGCCTAGTGAGGTTCTTTGCGAGGACCAGAACGATGTTCCGAGACCCGAGGCCGGTCAATCCGAGACCGAGATTGGAAAATGGGCGAGGACTTCGGCCTCGGCGAGGCTTCGACCTCATGCAACCCTAGCTATAAGTAAGCCCATTTCTGTTTGGTATTTTGAATGCCATAAACCCTGGCCCCCTTTCTTAAATTAGTAATTTTATTAATGAACCTCTCTTTTGTATTCTTTTTCAGTTACAATAATTTCTTCATATAAAAGATCCAAAAGTATTCTATAATAATTATTTACACTATTCTCCGAAGCTATTAAATCCTCATAATTTACAACAAAATTTCTCTCATATTCTAATATATTTATATGTTTTATATTTTCCCAAAATCCAGAGAAAATCTTTTTACTATCCAAATTTCCCCAGCCTCCTTTCCCGTGTAAAGGGTTTATTTGGCCTTCCATAACTTTAAACCAAACAAGGAAGTTTGCAGCAAGTTCTTCTACCTTCCTTATTTTTTGAAAATTTTCATCAGTAATGTTAACAAGTAAAATGTTCAGATAATGCTCTTTTAGACGTTCCGTGCCAGAATATACTTTAATAAAATTAAATATTTAAGTCAAGATTAAGGCCTACATTGATCATATGTGGATCTCAAAAGGGACCTTCTCAATCCTATGTTATCCTGGATTAGATCGTTATGATTTCCCGCTTTTTTGGAGCATATGGGATCGACCGAGTAAAACTTTCCCAGTTATCTAGTTTTAACAAATAAAAAGTCCTCGCCAGTATCTCTAGAAAGTACAAAAAGTTTTTGCCATTGACGCAAGAATTTTGCTTAGTAATTAGGATTTTTTGACAAATCTACATACTAGATACCAAATCTTCATATATCATCTTGATCCCTCAATATTCCTACAAATCCATCGATATCCCCCTTAATCCCTTTTAATCCCACAACATTTCTTGCTCACTTAACCTCCTTTAACCACGACAATCTTCACTGGTTTGCATCTCTGTCCCGGATCCGGATAACAGTCGATTTCCCAGGACACACCAGCCCATTTTCCACTGGATCCGCCTAATTCTTATGCCACAAAATATAGGTGGATGTATATTTT